TCCCAGGGAACTTCTGAAGGAAAATCCATCACCTCAGAACTTATTCCCACTGTGGACCTGCCTGACTTCCCCAGGACCCACTCCTGCTCTTTTTCCAGCTTTTTTTTCCAAAGAAAACAAAGAGCAAGGAGTGGTCCCTGTGCCTCTCAGCCCAGGAGTGTGCTGGGAATTGTGCCAGGATTGGGCTGGGAAATGTGTTGGGACTGGGCTGGGATCAGGCTGGGAATTGTGCCCGGATTGGGGTGTGGAGCGTGCCGGGACTGGGCTGGGAAGTTCACTGGGATGAACTGGGAAGTGTGCCTGGATCGGGCTGGAATTGGGCCATGAAGTTCCCTGGGATGAACTGGGAAGTGTGGCTGGATTGGGCTGGGATTGGGCCGGGAAGTTCACTGGGATGAACTGGGAAGTGTGGCTGGATCAGGCTGGGATTGGGCCGGGAAGTTCACTGGGATGAACTGGGAAGTGTGGCTGGATCGGGCTGGGATTGGGATGGGAAATTCACTGGGATGAACTGGGAACTGTGGCTGGATCAGGCTGGGATTGGGCCGGGAAGTTCACTGGGATGAACTGGGAAGCTGACCTGAAAGTTCACCAGGATTGAACTGGGGAATGCACCAGGGCTGAGCGAGGAAATTTGCTGGGATTAGGGTGGGAAGAGCACCAGGAGAGGGCAGGGAAGTCCCTGGTTTGGGGTGGGAGCGTGCTGGCATTTCTCTGGGAATTGTACCTGGATCAGACTGGGCAACGTTCCGGCCTTGGGCTGGGGAGGGTGTTGGGAATGGGCTGAGGAGGTGCTGGAAGGGGCCTGGGAGCTCCTCAGAATTGGGCTGAGGAGCTCGTTGGGATCAGGCTGGGAAATCTGGATTGGACTGGGGAGTGTGCTGGTGTTGGGCTGGGAATGTCCCTGGGCTGGAAGCTGTGCTGCCCATCCCTGTGTTCCCCTCTCCAGTCTTCCAAGAAGCCCAAGACAGCGGAAGCCGACACGTCCAGCGAGCTGGCCAAGAAGAGCAAGGAGGTGTTCAGGAAAGAGGTGAGGGATCCCACCCCGGGAATGGGGATGGGATGGGGTGGGATGGGATGGGATGGGATGGGATGGGATGGGATGGGATGGGATGGGATGGGATGGGATGGGATGGGATGGGATGGGATGGGATGTAGGTGGGATGTAGGTGGGATGGGATGGGATGGGGTGGGATGGGATGTAGGTGGGATGGGGTGGTGGCAGCAGGCAGTGGATCCAGCGCTGTGTCCCGCAGATGTCCCAGTTCATCGTGCAGTGCCTGAATCCCTACCGGAAGCCCGACTGCAAGGTGGGCCGGATCACCACCACCGAGGACTTCAAACACCTGGCACGCAAGGTGGGAATGTGGGGGGACACAGGGACACGGCGTGCACAGGGACACACGGATGCAGGAACGTGGGGACGTGGAGGGTACGGGGACATGGGACACACAGAGACGGGAACACGAGGAGTAGGGGAAGATGGTGGCATGGATACAGAGACACAGGGACGTGGTCACATGCAGGACATGGGGACAAAGGATGTGGAGACACGGAGGGTACAGGGACGTGGGGACACAGGAATGTGGGGACATGGGGACAGTGGGATGTGGGACATGGGGACACAGGGTTGCTGAAATGGGGACACAGGGACATGGGGTACAGGGACATGGGAATGTGGGACATGGGGACACGGATACAGGGACACAGGAATGTGGGGACACAGAGACACAGGAATATGGGAACAGGGACAGTGGATATGGGGACATGGGGATGTGGGACATGGGAGCACAGGTACAGGGACACGAGGGCACAGGAATGTGGGGACATAGGGACAGTGGGATGTGGGACATGGCAGCATAGGGACACAGGGATGCTGAAATGGGGACACGGGGACACAGAATGTGGCACTTGGGGACATGGAGGGTGCAGGTTCATTGGAATGTGGGAAGTGGGGACATGGGGACACCGAGGAGAGAGGGATATGGGGACACAGGAACATAGGGTTCAAGGAGTTGGGAACGTGAGGGGCATGGGAATTTGGGAATACATGGATGAGGGGACATAGGAATATGGGGACATGAGGATAAAGGGACATGGGGACACAGGGACATGGGGATGTGGGACACCAGGACATGGGAAGTCCCGGACACTGGGATTTGGGGACACAGGGACATGGTGGCTGTAGGGACACAGGGATGTGGGGCATGAGGACACGGGAGGTACAGGGACAATGGAGTTTGGGGACATGGGAACCAAGGGATGGCCCCAGGAAATGGGATTGTGTCATTCCAGCTGCCTCCAGCTCCTTGGAGGGCGAGGGAAGGGAAGGAGAAATGGTGGGGGGATGTTGGGAGAACAGCAGAAATATTTAGGGAATAGTTGGGGAATAACAGGAAAGGTTTGGGCAATAATAGTGAATAACTGGGAAATAATAGGTAAATAATATGGAGGAATAATAGGAAATATTTAGGGAATATTTGGGAATAATAGGAAGTATTTGGGGAATAACTGCAAATATTGGCACAACAATACCAAACATTTAGGGAATTTGTGGGAAGTAAAAGCAAATTGAGTATTAGGAATTATTTGGGGAATATTTGGGAAGTAACAGAAAAATAATTTAGGGAGTAATAGGAAATATTTGGGGAAGAACAGGAAATATTTGGGGAGTAATGGGAAAATAGCTTGGGAATGTTTGGAAAAGAACAGCCGATATTAGGAGAACAATAGTAAATATTTAGGGAATATTTGGGGAATATTTGAGGAATAACAGGAAAGATTTGGGTGATAATATGACAGCAGCTCTGGAAATATTTGGGGAGTAATAGGGAAATAGCTTGGGGAATGTTTGGAAAATATAGCAGATATTTGGGGAACACTGCCAAATATTTCAGGAATATTTAGGGAATATTTGGGAAATATTTGAGGAATATTTGGTAAACATTCGGGGAATAATGCAACAATAGCTTGGGCAGTGTCTGCAAATAACAAGGGACATTTGGGGAATATTTGGGAAATAGCTTGAGGAATGTTTGGAAAATATATCAGATATTTGGGGAACACTACCAAATATTTCAGGAATATTTAGGGAATATTTGAGGAATATTTGGGAATGCTCGGGGAACATGCGAGAAAAATTTGGGAAATATTTGGGGAACATTTGCAGAATAATATAACAATAGCTTGGGCAGTACCTGGAAATGAGAGGGAATATTTGTGGAAAAATAAGAAAACAGCTTGGGAATGTTGGGAAAATAACAGCAGATATTGAGGGAACAATACCAAGTATTTAGGGAATATTTGGGCAATAATATGACAGCGGCTCAGGGAATATTTGGGAATAAGAGGAAGTATTTGGGAAATAGGAGCACAGTAGCCTGGGGGTGCCAGGTCTGGGATTGGTGGGAATTTTGGGAGTGACCCATGGCATTCCTGTGGCATTCCCATGGCATTCCCATGGCATTCCCGTGGCATTCCCATGGCATTCCCACAGCTGACCCACGGCGTGATGAACAAGGAGCTCAAGTACTGCAAGAACCCCGAGGACCTGGAGTGCAACGAGAACGTCAAACACAAAACCAAGGAATACATCAAGAAGTACATGCAGAAATTCGGGATCCTCTACAAGCCCAAAGAGGACACGGAGCTGGAATAGCCCCTGGAATCACCCCCGGCCCTCCCGAGCCACCAACCTGTGAATTTATTATTATTATTATTATTAATTATTATTATTATTATTATTATTATGACAATGGATTTTTGGTTTTTTAAGGAAAACAAACTTGGTTCCCGTCGCTGAGGAGGACGAGCTGGGCTTTCCCAAGCCTGCTTTGGCTGATCCAGGCTTTCCCAAGCCTGCATTTGCTTTTCCAGGCTTTCCCAAGCCTGTTTTTATTGATCCAGGCTTTCCCAAGCCCGGCTCTCCCAGCGCTGCTCCCAAGCTCTGTATTATATTTTGACGTATATGTGAATATATTGATAATAATTTGCTTTTTTTCCCTCCTCTCCCCGTTGCTTTCAGCCCCAAACGTGCCGATCCCACGGGAGCGTTTGGCAGGAGAATTTGGGAGTTATTCCCGGATTTTTTTTAAAATTTTTTTTTCCCCCCTTTGGTTGTTTCCTTGGTTTTTCCTTTTGGTTCTGCGAGGTTTCCTCCGTTTCCCTGTAAATACTGCGGATTTCTGGCCATGTTGATAAGATTGATTTTACTGCTTCGAGCATTTTACTTTATCCAATTTTTACGGAACTTTGTATGTAAAAAAAAAAAAAGAGCAAAAAAAAGAGAAAAAAAATAAAAAATAAAAATAAAAAAAACAACCCAAACCCCAAAATCGATGCTGGGCAGGGCCACAGGGGGGACCTGGCTGGGGATGTCCCCTCTCCCTCGGGGACCTCCTGTCACCCTCAGCATTCCCGGGAATCTGGACTCCCTGGGAAAGGAAGTTTGGGATGACCTGGGAGACTTTTTGAGGTTAAAAATGGCTTTTTCTGTCCCCAGGGACACATGGACACCTGAGGGGTCCCACCCTCCCTGGGGACACCTGGGGACATCCAGCCCAGACACCTGAGGTCACATCACAGGGATGCAGGGACACTTCTTGGGGACAAAGGGACACCTGGGACACGCCCTAAGGACACACAGACACCCAAGGGGACTTGGGGACAGCTGGGGACACTTGGGACACCCGAGGGGGCACATTCCAGGGACAATCGGACAACGCAAGGGACACGTCCTATGGACACTGGGGACATCCAAGGGAACACATTGTGGGGACAAACACCAGAAGGGACACCTGGGAATACTTGGGACACCTGAAGGGACACACCCCAGGGACAAATGGGGACACTGGGGACAAGCAGGCACCTGGTGACACCTGGAACACCTGAGGGACACATCCCAGGGACACCTGGTGACACCTGAAGGGACACATCCCAGGGACAACTGGTGACACTTGCAACACCTGAACGGACACACAGACACCTGAGGACACAAACCCTGGTGGCACCCAGTGACACGTTTAATGTCCCCACCCAGGCCACCAAAGGTCCCCGTCCCACCCCCCAGAATCCCTAAAAAAGTACAAAACCCACGTAAAAAAAAAATCCCCAGGAATCCATCGGGAAGGGGAGCGGCGGCGGGGACAGCCCCGGTGTCCCGGCGGTGTCACACGGCGGAGGTGGCGTCCCCCGGCGGCTCTCCCGGTTCCTCCCGGCGCCGCGGGGACACCGGGAGCAGGGCGGGACCCTCGGCGGGCGCTGCGGGGAGGGACGGGCTCAGCACCCGCAATTCCACCCGGGACAGACCCACCGAGCGTGGGGGCGGCTCCTGACCCCCCCCGGGAGGTGTAGGGGAACCCCGACCCCATCCAGGTGCTCCCTAATCCCATTTAAGGGCTTCCCGACCCCTTTGGGTGCTCCCCGACCCCTTTGGGTGCTCCCTGATCCCATCCCATCCCCATCCCAATCCCCATCCCCATCCCATCCCAGTGCCCCTAAACCCCGACCCTTCCCAGGGCCAGGTGTCCCCAAATCCCCTCAGATCTGCCTGTCCCCAAATCCCCCCATGTTCGACTGTCCCCAAATCCCTCCAGATCTGAGTGTCCCCACACCCTCCGAAGGGTTGTCTGTCCCCAGATCTGGGTGTCCCCAAACCCCCCGGGGCCACCTGTCCCCAAATCCCCCCGGGGGAATCTGAGTGTCCCCAGTCGCCCCGGGGCCGGCTGTCCCCGGATCTGGGTGTCCCCAATTCCCCGGCCCCGGCTGTCCCCAAATCCCCCCGGATCTGGCTGTCCCCAAACTCCCCCCAGATCTGGGTGTCCCCAAACTCCCCCAGGGCCGGGTGTCCCCAAATCCCCCCGGATCTGAGTGTCCCCAGAGCCCCCTAGATCTGGCTGTCCCTAAATCCCCCCAGATCTGTGTCCCCACACCTGCCGGGGCCGGCTGTCCCCGGATCTGAGTGTCCCCAAACTCCCCCCAGGGCCGAGTGTCCCCAAATCCCCCCAGATCTGTGTCCCCACACCCGCCGGGGCTGGCTGTCCCCAGATATGGGTGTCCCCAAATCCCCCCAGATCTGGCTGTCCCCAAATCCCCCCGAATCTGAGTGTCCCCAGTCCCTCCCCAGATCGGGGTGTCCCCAAACTCCCCCAGGGCCGGGTGTCCCCAAATCCCCCCGGATTTGGCTGTCCCCAAATCCCCCCAGATCTGTGTCCCCACACCCGCCGGGGCCAGCTGTCCCCAGTCCCCCGGCCCGGCTGTCCCCAAACCCCCGGCCCGGCTGTCCCCAAACCCGCGGCTGTCCCCAGTCCCCCGGTCCCCGGTGTCCCCAAACCCCCGGTGTCCCCCGGCCGCGCTCCCGGGGCGCTCACCGGGCTGGCCCCGCTCCGGACCGGCGCTCTCGGTGCTGCCGCCGCCGTCCCCCCGCGGCTTCTCCGCCTCCGCCGCGTCCCGCGCCTTGTCCAGCTGCCGCTTCCTCCGGCAGGTGCCCCAGCTGCGGCCACCGGGACACCGGGGTCACCGGGACACCGGGACACCGAGGGACACCGGGGACACCGGGGGACATCGGGGACACCGGGGGTCACCGGGGACACCGGGGAAACCGGGACACCGAGGGACATCGGGGGTCAGTGGGGACAGCGGGGATCACCGGGGATAGCGGGAGTCACCGGGCGTCACCGGGACACCGGGGGACATCAGGGTCACCGGGGATACCGGGAGTAACCGGGGGACACGGGGGACACCGGGAATCATCGGGGGACACCGCGGGTCACCAGGGGACACCGGGGGACACGGGGGGACACTGGGGGACACCCACAGGGGGTCACAGGGAATCATCGGGGGACATGGGGGTCACCGGGGACACCGCGGGTCAGTGGAGACACCGGGGGACATTGCCAGACACCAAGGACACCCCGGGACACCGGGGGACACCGGGGACACCGGGGACACCGGGGATACCGGGAGACACCGGGGGGAAACTGGGGGACATCGAGAACACCGGGGGACACTGGGGACACTGCAGGACACCGGGGGTCATCGGGGGGCACTGGGGGACACCGGGGGAATACGGGAGTCACCAGGGGATGCCGGGGACACCGGGGAACACCAGGGGCACCGGGAACACCAGGGGACACTGGGGGACAGCGGGGATCACTGGGGGACATCGAGGGTCACTGGGGGACACTGCGGGACGCTGGGGACACCGGGGGAAAACGGGGGACACCAGGGACACCGAGGGTCAGTGGGGACACCGGCGGACATTGCGGGACACCGGGGACACCCCAGGACACCGAGGGACACCAGGGGACACCGGGGAACAGCAGGGATACCGGGGGACACCGGGAGACACCGGGAGACACTGGGGGACAGCGGGGACACCGTGAGTCACCAGGAATCATCGGGTGACACCGGGGACACCCCGGGACACCGGGGATACCGGGGGACATCGGGGGTCACCGGGGGACACTGGGGGACACCGAGGGTCAGTGGGAGACACCAGGGACACCGCAGGACACCGGGGGTCATTGGGGGGCACTGGGGGACACCGGGAACACCAGGGGACACCGGGGGACACCGGGGGACACCGGGGGGAACCGGGGGACACCGGGGACACCGAGGGTTAGTGGAGACACCGGCGGACATTGTGGGACACCGGGGACACTCCGGGACACCGAGGGCCACCAGGGGCCACCAGGAATCATCGGGGGACACTGGGGATACCGTGGGTCAGTGGGGATCATCGGGGGACACCGCGAGACACCGGGGGACAACGGGGGAAACTGGGAGTCACCAGGGGACACCGGGGACACCCCGGGACACTGGGGGACATTGTGGAACACTGGGGGACACGGGGGACACCGGGGGACACTGGGGGACACCGGGGGTCCCCAAACCCCCCACTCACCACTTGAAGGCCACGTAGGCCACGAGCCCCACGACGAGGCCGGCCAGGAGGGCGCAGTACAGGGGGATGATGTCCCCGGGGGGCTCGGGGGGCACCCCCGGTACCGGCGGTGTCACTCGGGGGTCCCCCGGCACCGGCAGGGCCCCCTCGGCTGTGCGGGCCCGGAAAAGGGAAAGGAATGAGGCCGTGCCTCAGTTTCCCCTTCAGAGACACCCCCCGGGTTTGGGACAGCGGCCCGGTCACCCCCTGAGGGAAACTGAGGCACGGGGAGGGGGAATGGGGGATAAAAGGGGAAATTGAGGCACAGTGAGGGGGGAATGAGGGACAAAAGGGGAAACTGAGGCACAAAAAGGGGGAATGGGGGACAGAAGGGGAAACTGAGGCACAAAAAGGGGGAATGGGGGACAAAAGGGGAAACTGAGGCACAAAAAGGGGAAATTGAGGTGCAACACGGGGAAACTGAGGCAGGAAAGGGAAACTGAGGCACGAAAAGGTGAATTTAGGGAGCAACATGGGGAAAGTGAGGCACAAAAGGGGAAATTAAGGAGCAACACGGGGAAACTGAGGCACAAAAGGGAAACTAAAGCACAAAAAGGGGAAATTGAGGTGCAACACAGGGAAACTGAGGCACGAAAGGCGAAATTAAGGAACAGCACGGGGAAACTGAGACACGAAAAGGGGAAATTAGGGTGCAACATGGGAAAACTGAGGCACAAAAGGGAAACTGAGACACAAGAGGGGAAATTAAGGAGGAACACGGGGAAACTGAGGCAGGAAAGGGAAACTGAGGCACAAAAGGGGAAGTTAAGGACCAACACAGGGAAACTGAGGCACAAAAGGGAAACTGGGGCACGAAAAGGTGAATTTAGGGAGCAACATGGGGAAAGTGAGGCACAAAAGGGACACTGAGGCACAAAAGGGGAAATTAAGGAGCAACAAGAGGAAACTGAGGCAGGAAAGGGAAACTGAGGCACAAAAGGGGAAATTGAGGCACAAGAGGGGAAACTGAGGTGCAACACGGGGAAACTGAGGCACAAAAGGGAAACTGAGGCACAAAAGGGGAAATTACAGAGCAACACAGGAAAACTGAGGCAGAAAAGGGAAACTGAGGCACAAAAGGTGAAACTATGGAGCAACACGGGGAAACTGAGGCACAAAAGGGAAACTGAGGCAAAAAAGGGGAAATTAAGGAACAACACAGGGAAACCAAGGCACAAAAGGGGAACTGAGGCACAACAAGAGGAAACTGAGGCAGGAAAGGGAAACTGAGGCAGGAAAGGGAAACTGAGGCAGGAAAGGGAAACTGAGGCACAAAAGGGGAAATTACGGAGCAACACAGGGAAACTGAGGCACAAAAGGCAAAATTAAGGAACAACACAGGGAAACTGAGGCAGGAAAGGGAAACTGAGGCACAAAAGGGAAACTGAGGCACAAAAGGCGAAATTAAGGAGGAACACGGGGAAACTGAGGCAGGAAAGAGAAAATGAGGCACAAAAAGGGGAAATTAGGGCGCAACATGGGGAAACAGGCACAAAATGGAAACTGAGGCACAAGAGGGGAAATTAAGGAACAACACGGGGAAACTGAGGCAGGAAAGGGAAACTGAGGCACAAAAGGGGAACTGAGGCACAACAAGAGGAAACTGAGGCAGGAAAGGGAAACTGAGGCAGGAAAGGGAAACTGAGGCACAAGAGGGGACTGCAGCCCACCCCCCTGCCCGTGTCCCCCCGGGGTCCCGGTGCCACTCACGGCCGCAGGGCGGGCACGGCTCCTCCGGTTCCTCCTCCGCGGGCTCGGGGCGTTTCGGGGTCGCTTTTTGGGGGGCTGCTCCTGGGTTCGGGGTGGTTTTGGGGTCCTCACTGTGGGCCCAGGGCTCGGGGACACCGTGGGGACACGGGGGGCACCCCCCACGCCCCCCTGGCACCTGTGGGCACAGAGAGTCCTGCCTCAGTTTCCCCTCCAGCCGTGAATTCCCACTGGAAACCCCAAAATCCATGGAAAAAAGGGGGGTGGAAGAGGGGTAAAAACAAAGGATGGGAAAGGGAAAGGAATAAAAGCGTAAAAAGGAAAGAAATTGGAAATAAAAAGGAGATAAAAGGTACAGAAATGGAAAGGGATGAAAAGAAATCAGGGGAATAAAAGGAAGAGAAAGGAAGGGAAAAGCTGAACTAAGTTAAAATGGGAGGAAGGGAAAGAACGTGAGAGAAAGGAAAATAAAGGGAAATAAATAGAGGGAAAAATAAAAGAAAATAAATAAAGGAAAATAAAGGAAAAAATAAAGGAAAATAAATAAAGGAAAAAATAAAGGAAAATAAAGGAAAAAATAAAGGAAAATAAATAGAGGAAAATAAAGGAAAATAAATAGAGGGAAAAATAAAGGAAAAAATAAATAAAGGAAAATAAAGGAAAAATAAAAGAAAATAAAGGGGAAAAAAAAGAAAAACAAAGGAAAATAAAGGAAAAATAAAGGAAAATAAATAAAGGAAAAAATAAAGGAAAATAAAAGAAAATAAAGGAAAAAATAAAGGAAAATAAATAAAGGAAAAAATAAAGGAAAATAAATAAAGGAAAAAAAAGGAAAATAAATAAAGGAAAAAATAAAGGAAAATAAAGGCAAATAAATAAAGGAAAATAGAATAAGATTAAATAAACTAAGGGAAATGAAACAGAATTAAAAAGGAAAATAAAAAATAAAAGAGGAAAATAAAAATAAAAGAAAAAACATGGAAAAGGACGATAAAAATAAAAATATCAGAAGGAAAATGAAAAGACAATAAACCAGGAAAATAAAAGAAATGGAGGAAAATGGAATAAAATGAAAGAAAAGGAACGGAACCGAAATGACCCAAAGTGAACCAAACCAAAAAACTCCAACAAAAGCCACGGGGAAAAGTGACCCGGAGCGCCCGGGGGCAGCGGGACACCCGGCCCGGCCCAGCCCGGTTCTGTCCCGGTCCCGTCCCGGTTCTGTTCCCATCCCGGTCCAGTCCCGGTTCCGTTCCCCTCCCGCTCCCATCCCGGTTCCGTTCCCCTCCCGGTCCCGTCCCGCTCCCATCCCGGTTCTGTTCCCCTCCCGTTCCCATCCCGGTTCCCTCCCGGTTCCGTTCCCATCCCGGTCCCATCCCGGTTCCGTTCCTGTCCTGTTCCCATCCCGGTCCCGTCCCGGTTCCGGTCCCATCCCGGTTCCGTTCCCATCCCGGTCCCGTCCCGCTTCTGTTCCCATCCCGGTCCCATCCCGGTCCCATCCCGGTTCCGTTCCCCTCCCAGTCCCATCCCGGTTCCGTTCCCATCCCGGTCCCATCCCGGTCCCGTCCCGGTTCCTTTCCCCTCCCGGTCCCATCCCGGTCCCGTCCCGGTTCCATTCCCATCCCGGTTCCTTTCCCCTCCCGGTCCCATCCCGGTTCCGTTCCCCTCCTGGTCCCATCCAGGTCCCGTTCCCATCCCGGTTCCGTTCCCCTCCCGGTCCCGTCCCGGTCCCGTCTCGGTCCCGTTCCCATCCCGGTTCCGGTCCCCTCCCGTTCCCCTCCCGGTCCCATCCCGCTCCCGTCCCGGTTCCGTTCCCATCCCGGTTCTGTTCCCCTCCCGCTCCCATCCTGGCCCATCCCGGTCCCGTCCCGCTCCCATCCCGGTCCCGTCCCGCCCGCACCGGGCTCAGCAGCAGCAGCAGCAGCGGCACCGGGAGCGGCCGCATGGCCGGCACCGGCCCGGGAACCCCGCTCCGGGCCGGGCCGAACCGCTCCGGTCCCGTCCGGCACCGCTCGGCCCCGCTCCGTCCCTGTTCTGTCTCGTTCGGCTTCGCTCGGTCCCGGTTCGGCTCCGCTCCACTCCGCTGGGTCCCGGTTCGGCTCCGTTCGGTCTAGGTTCGGTACCGTTCAGTCCGGGTTCGGTTCCGTTCGGCCCCTTTTGGACCCGGCTCAGCTCCTTTCGGCCCCGCTGGCTCCCGGCTTGGCCCCGTTCGGTCCCGGTTCGGCTCCTTTCGGCCCGGTTCGGCCCCGTTCGGCTCCGTTCGGCTCCTCTCGGCCGCCCCCGTCGCGCCCGGGCCGGGCCGGGCTGGGCGTGGCTCCCCCGGGCAGGGCCGGGCGGGGCGCGCTCCCATTGGCTGCGCGCGGCCAGGGGGGCGTGGCCATGCGCGGAGCCCCGCCCCTCGCAGCCCCTTTGGTTCGCGGGTTCGAGTCCCGCCCGTGGGGACGGCGCCAAGTGGGACCGGGGGCACCCAAGGGACGGGGTCACCCACCCCTCCCGCCACCTCCCACGGCTCTTCCCGGGGGAATAAGGGCCTGGAAGCGGGAGAAGCAGCTTTATTGAGTCCCGCTGTGGGTGCAGCATCCTGGAGGGGGTGGAGGGACGTGGAGGGGGTGCAGAGTGGGAGTGGGTGCAGGGTGTGGGAATGGGTGCAGGAGTGGGTGCAGGGTGTGGGAGTGGGTGCAGGAGTGGGTGCAGCGTGTGGGAATGGGTGCAGGGTGTGGGAGCAGGCACAGGAGTGGGTGCAGGGTGTAGGAATTGGTGCAGGGTGTGGGAGCGGGTGCAGGAGTGGGTGCAGGGTGTGGGAATGGGTGCAGGGTGTGGGAGTGGCTCTGGGAATGGGTGCAGGAGTGGGTTCAGGGTGTGGGAGTGGGTGCAGCATGTGGGAATGGGTGCAGGAGTGGGTTCAGGGTGTGGGAATGGGTGCAGGGTGTGGGAGCGAGCACAGGAGTGGGTGCAGGGTGTGGGAATGGGTGCAGGGTGTGGGAGTGGCTCTGGGAATGGGTGCAGGAGTGGGTGCAGGGTGTGGGAGCGGGTACAGGAGTGGGTGAAGGGTGTGGGAATGGGTGCAGGGTGTGGGAGCGGGTGCAGGAGTGGGTGCAGGGTGTGGGAGTGGGTGCAGGGTGTGGGAGTGGGTGCAGGGTGTGGAAATGGGTGCAGCAGTGGGTGAAGGGTGTAGGAATGGGTGCAGGGTGTGGGAGCGAGCACAGGAGTGGGTGCAGGGTGTGGGAATGGGTGCAGGAGTGGGTGAAGGGTGTGGCAGTGGGTGCGGGACCGGGCAGTGGGTGCAGGACCCGGCAGTGGGTGCAGGACCTGGCAGTGGGTGCAGGACCGGGCAGTGGGTGCAGGACCCGGCAGTGGGTGCAGGACCCGGCAGAGGGTGCAGGACCCGGCAGTGGGTGCAGGACCCCAGCGTGGGTGCAGGACCCGGCAGTGGGTGCAGGACCCGGCAGTGGGTGCACGGAGCGACTCGGAGCGGGTGCGGGGTCTCGTTGTGGGTGCCGAGCGTTGTTCCAGGGTGGGTGCCGGGTGTGGGTGCGGGTGCCACCCCCGGAATCTCCTTTTTCTCCTCTCTACCAGCCACGCACGGGCCGCCAGAGCTCCACCACCTTTCCCGCAGCGTGCACGAAGTACACGGGGTGCATGGCAGCCGTGGCACACGCCTGGCACGGGGGGGACACCGAGCTGTGACACGGGGGTGGCACGGAGGGGACACGCGGGGCTGACACTCACGTGGAACGGGATGAGCGCCAAGGTGCTGCCCAGCGGGAATTGCCCAAAATCCAACTGCCCATCCACGGCCTCCGCCTGCCCGTGCTCCTGGGTCAGCCCCACCAACCTGCGGGGACACGAGTGTCACCCCCTCCCGTGTCCCCCCGCGGGTGTCACCCCCCTCCCACGGGTGTCACCTGAGCTGGGGGTGGCCCTCGATGGCCGCGCAGCCCGGGGGTCCCCGGTGGGCACCGTGCAGGCTGAGGGCGGCCCAGCCACAGTCCAGCAGGAGCTGCCCGCGGTGGGGGTAGTGCCCGACCACCCTGCTGAGGACGCGGATCGCCACCTCCTCGGGCTGGCACGACCCCAGCTGGGTCTGCTGCAGGTCTGTGGGGACACGGATGTGTCACCACCCTCGTGGGGGGGGTCCCTCCATGTCGGGGGTGTCTGTTCTGCTCACCGTAGAAGAGGTAATTGCCCGGGTGCAGCTCGGTGAGTTGGGACATCTCCGGTACCGGGTGGCTGCAGGACGGGGTGGAGCCGATGGTGGCTTGGGGACACGGGATCCCCGCCTGCCGCAGCCTGGGGACACGCGGGGGGCACCCCGATGTCACCCCCGGGAACGAGAGCGGAGGTGGGTCCTGCGCCTCTGGGTGCCCCAGCTGTGCCGGGGAGGCCCCCAAACGCTCCAGATGTGGGACAGCCTCCCCCCAGTGTGCCAGGGAGAGCTCCAGATGTGCCGGGGACGCATCCAGATGTGCCCGGGTGCCAGCCAGATGTGCCCAAAATCCCCCTCAAAGACTCATCTGGAGGGTGTCCCTCCAGATCCCCCTCTCCAGCTGTGCCCAAGCATCTCCAGATGTGCCAGACATCCACCGATATGAGCTGGACAACCCCCCACCCCCCACCCCAGATGTTTTAAAGCACTCCCAGATGTGCTGGAGACCCCCTCCAGGTGCTTCTGGGAGCCCCCAGATGTGCAGGAGACCTCCCCAAGACCTGTGAGGGCGCCACCAGATGTGCCTGGGAGGCCCCACTTGTGCCAGAGATCATCCAGATGTGCCCGGGATCCCCTCAGCTGCCCCAGGCCGTTCCCAGATGTGCCAGAAAGGCCCTCCAGATGTGCCCGGGAGCCCTCCCAGATGTTTCTAGACCCCCAGATGTGCTTGGAACCAGCCCCAGATGTGCCCGTGACCCCTCCCAGCTATTTCTGGACCCCCAGATGTGCTCGGAACCAGCCCCAGATGTGCCCAAGACCCATCCCAGATGTTTCTGGACCCCCAGATGTGCTCGGAACCAGCCCCAGATGTGCCCGGGAGCCCTCCCAGATGTTTCTGGACCTCCAGATGTGCTTGGAACCAGCCCCAGATGTGCCCGGGAGCCCTCACAGCTATTTCTGGACCCCCAGATGTGCCCGGGAGCCCCCCAGATTTTGGGGAGGGGGTGGAATCTGAGGTTTCCCCACCACAACCCGGTGCCACCACGGGCTGGGCCGGGCCGGTGACCCCCGGGATGTGTCCCCAGGTGGGGCTGGGGGGGAGGTGCCACCTCCTTATCCCAGCAGGAGCCATCCGGCCGCCATTCCCCGCAGGATGCGGAGCCCCGCCGGGATGAAAGGGGGACAGGGAGGGGACAGCGACAATGCCCCGGGTCACAGCCCGCCACCACAGCCACATCAAAGCCCGCTGCACCCCGGGGGGGGGCTTTGAGGGCCCCTTTATGGGGGCGATTCGCATTTACAACGGGAAGGTGACAGCGGCCACCTCCACCCTTCCCATCCCCAAATCCCCGCGGGGTCGCTCCTGGGGCCACTCACGCGGTGACGAATTCCAGCACGGCGACAGTGGTGGCCCTGGCGATGGCCTGGATGGCCGCGATGTCGCGACAGCCGTAGGTGTTCCCGCAGTGGGCGTAGACCCCCACCAGTGTCACCAGCTCCGGGGAGCCCTGGGCGATGGCCCGAGCCAAGGGCAGCGCCGCGGGGTCCGTGGGACGAATCCCGGCTGGGGAGGGGGTGGGGGATGGGGTGAGGGGACACTTGGAGCATCCCGGCGGTGGGAATGTGGGAATGGGGTTGGACAGTGCCGTGATGGGGTTTTGGGGCCGCTTCGGACGTGTTTTCCAGGCGTGGCTGGGGAAAAATGGCTTTGGAGGGGCTGAGATGCTCCATGGTGGTTGGGATGGAGGATCTGGGGACTTGGAGGGACATGGGGATCCCTCCCTATGGAGCATCCTTAAATAATGATTTTGGGGCATTTAGATGCTCCATTATGGTTGGGATGGAGGATTTAGAAGCTTGGGAAGGACATGGGGACCCCTCCCTATGGAGCATCCTCAAATAACGATTTTTTGGGGGGTTTAGGTGCTCCATGGTGGTTGGGATGGAGGATCTGGGGGCTTGGAGGGCCATGGGGACCCCTCCCTATGGAGCGTCCTTAAATAACGATTTTGGGGGTGTTTAGATGCTCCATTATGGTTGGGATGGAGGATTTGGGGGCTTGGAAGGACATGGGGATTCCTTCCCATGGACCATCCTTAAATAATGATTTTGGGGGGATTTAGATGATTCAGGGTGCTTGGGATAGAGGATTTGGAAGCTTGGAAGGATATGAGGATCCCTCCCTATGGAGCATCCTCAAATAATGATTTTTTGAGGGGTTTAGCTGCTCCATCATGGTTGGGATGGAGGATTTGGGGGCTTGGAAGGACATGGGGATTCCTTTCCATGAAGCATCCTTAAATGACGATTTTGGGGCTTTCAGATGCTCCATCATAGTTTTGATGGAGGATTTGGGGGCTTGGAGTGACACAGAACATCATTCCCTGAGGAACACCCTTGATGAATGATTTTAGGGGGCTTCAATCTCCCACCCCGATTGAGATGCTGGATCCGGGGGCACTCAGAGCACCCCACCCCACGAACCCCCCACACACTGTGCCCTCCCTGCACCCCGGGGTGGGATTTGGGCTTCACCTACCCCGACCATTACCGCAGTCCAGCTTGAGCCAGACCAGCCAGCGCTTCCCGGCGGGAAGGGGGTTCTGGAGCAGCATCTCCAACCCCTGGGGGCTGTCCAGGAGCACCTGGAAGCGCTGCAGGCGCTGGGCCAGAGCCGAGCACTCGGCCAGGCGCCGGGGGGACAGCGGGAAGGCGTAGAGGATGTCATCGAAGCCCCCGGCCGAGAAGAAGCGAGCCTCGGCCAGCGTGGAGACCGCGATGCCCCGGCGGGAACCGCCCGTGGCCACCAACGCTCCTTCCCTGGCCAGGAGGAGGAGGAGGAGGAGGAGGAGGAGGAGGAGGGTGAAGGAAGGCCCGGGGGTGCTGGGGGAGGTTGGGTGCTGAGGGAGAGGTGGGGGATACTGGGAGGATGGGGGGATACTGGGGAGGATGGCGGGGGGATACTGGGAGGATGGTGGGGGGATACTGGGGAGGATGGTGAGGGGATACTGGGAGGATGGTGAGGGGATACTGGGAGGATGGTGAGGGGATACTGGGAGGATGGTGAGGGGATACTGGGGAGGATGGTGGGGGGATACTGGGAGGATGGTGAGGAGAAACTGGGGAGGATGGTGAGGGGATACTGAGAGGATGGTGGGGGGATACTGGGGAGGATGGGGGGATATTGGGAGGATGGTGGGGGGATACTGGGGAGGATGCTGAGGGGAAACTGGGAGGATGGTGAGGAGAAACTGGGGAGGATGGTGGTGGGACACTGGGAGGATGGTGAGGGGATACTGGGAGGATGGTGGGGGGATACTGGGGAGGATGGTGAGGGGATACTGGGGAAGATGGCAAGGGGATACTGGGGAGGATGGTGGGGGGATACTGGGAGGATGGTGGGGGGATACTGGGAGGATGGTGAGGGGATACTGGGAGGATGGTGAAGAGAAACTGGGAGGATGGAGAGGGGATACTGGGGAGGATGGTGAGGGGAAACTGGGGAGGATGGTGGGGGGATACTGGGAGGATGGAGGGGGGATACTGGGGAGGATGGTGAGGATACTGGGGAGGATGGTGAGGGGATACTGGGGAGGATGGTGAGGGGATACTGGGGAGGATGGTGAGGGGATACTGGGGTGGATGATGGGGGGATACTGGGGAGGATGGGGGGATATTGAGGAGGATGATGAGGGGATACTGGGGAGGATGGTGAGGGGATACTGGGGTGGATGGCGGGGGGATACTGGGGAGGATGGTGAGGGGATACTAGGGAGGATGGCGGGGGGATACTGGGGTGGATGATGGGGGGATACTGGGGAGGATGGTGAGGATACTGGGGAGGATGGTGGGGGGATACTGGGGAGGATGGTGAGGGGATATTGGGGAGGATGGTGAGGGGATACTGGGGAGGATGGTGGGGGGATACTGGGAGGATGGTGAGGGGATACTGGGGAGGATGGTGAGGGGATACTGGGGAGGATGGTGGGGGGATACTGGGGAGGATGGTGAGGGGATACTGGGGAGGATGGTGGGGGGATACTGGGGAGGATGGTGAGGGGATAGTTGGGAGGATAGAGGGATACTGGGGAAAATGGTGAGGGGATACTGGGAGGATGGTGAGGGGAAACTGGGGAGGATGGTGAGGGGAAACTGGGGAGGATGGTGGGGGGATACTGGGAGGATGGTGAGGGGTAACTGGGAGGATGGTGAGGGGATATTGGGAGGACAGTGAGGGGATACTGGGGAGGATGGTGAGGGGGAACTGGGAGGATGGAGGATACTGGGGAGGATGGTGGGGGGATACTGGGAGGATGGTGAGGGGATACTGGGGAGGATGGTGGGAGGATACTGGGAGGATGACAGGGGGATACTGGGGAAGATGGTGAGGGGATACTGGGGTGGATGGTGAGGGGATACTGGGGAGGATGGTGGAGGGATACTGGGAGGATGGTAAGGGGATACTGGGAGGATGGTGAGGGGATACTGGGGAGGATGGTGAGGGGATACTGGGCGGGATGGTGAGGGGATACTGGGGAGGATGGTGGGGGGATACTGGGGAGGATGGTGAGGGGATACTGGAGAGGATGGTGGGGGGATACTGGGGAGGATGGTGAGGGGATACTGGGGAGGATGGTGAGGGGATATTGAGAGGATGGAGGATACTGGGGAGGATGGCAGGGGGATAGTGGGAGGATGGTGACGGGATACTGGGGAGGATAGAGGGATACTGGGGAGGATGGTGAGGAGATACTGGGAGGATGGTGAGGGGATACTGGGAGGATGGTGAGGGGATAATGGGGAGGATGGAGAGGGGATACTGGGAGGATGGTGGGGGGATACTGGGTGGGATGGTGGGGGGATACTGGGAGGATGGGGGGATACTGGGGAGGATTGTGGGGGGATACTGGGGAGGATGACAGGGGGATACTGGGGAGGATTGTGGGGGGATACTGGGGAGGATGACAGGGGGATACTGGGGAGGATGGTGGGGGGAAACTGGGGAGGATGGTGAGGAGAAACTGGGGAGGATGGTGAGGGGATACTGGGAGGATGGTGAGGGGATACTGGGGAGGATGGTGAGGGGATACTGGGAGGATGGCGGGGGGATACTGGGGAGGACGGTGAAGGGAAACTGGGGAGGATGGTGAGGGGATACTGGGAGAATGGTGGTGGGGGGATACTGGGGAGGATGGTGAGGGGATAGTGGGGAGGACAGTGAGGGGATACTGGGAGGATGGTGAGGGGATACTGGGGAGGATGGTGGGGGGATACTGGGGAGGATGGTGAGGGGATACTGGGGAGGATGGTGGGGGGATACTGGGGAGGATGGGGAGGGGATACTGGGGAGGATGGTGAGGGGAAACTGGGAGGATGATGAGGGGATACTGGGGAAGATGGTGAGGGGATACTGGGGAGGATGATGAGGGGATACTGGGGAGGATGGTGGGGGGATATTGGGGAGGATGGCGGGGGATACTGGGGAGGATGGTTGGGGGATACTGGGAGGATGGAGGATACTGGGGAGGATGGTGGGGGGATACTGAGGAGGATGGTGAGGGGATAGTGGGGAGGATGGTGAGGGGATACTGGGGAGGATGGTGGGGGGAAACTGGGAGGATGGTGAGGGGATATTGGGATGGATGGTGAGGGGATACTGGGGAGGATGGTGGTGGGATACAGGGAGGATGGCGGGGGGATACTGGGGAGGATGGTGAGGGGATACTGGGAGGATGGTGGGGGGATACTGGGGAGGATGGTGAGGGGATACTGGGAGGATGACAGGGGGATACTGGGGAGGATGGTGGGGGGAAACTGGGAGGATGGCAGGGGGATACTGGGGAGGATGGTGGGGGGATACTGGGGAGGATGGGGGGGATACTGGGGAGGATGGTGAGGGGATAGTGGGAGGATGGTGAGGGGATACTGGGAGGATGGTGAGGGGATACTGGGGAGGATGGTGGGGGGATACTGGGGAGGATGGGGGGGATACTGGGGAGGATGGTGAGGGGATACTGGGAGGATGGTGAGGGGATACTGGGGAGGATGGTGAGGGGATACTGGGGAGGATGGTGAGGGGATACTGGGGAGGATGGTGAGGGGATACTGGGGAGGATGGCAGGGGGATACTGGGAGGATGGTGAAGGGATACTGGGAGGATGGTGGGGGGATACTGGGGAGGATGGTGGGGGGATACTGGGGAGGATGGTGAGGGGATACTGGGAGGATGGTGGGGGGATACTGGGGAGGATGGTGAGGGGATACTGGGAGGATGACAGGGGGATACTGGGGAGGATGGTGGGGGGATACTGGGGAGGATAGAGGGATACTGGGGAGGATTGTGGGGGGATATTGGGGGGATACTGGGGAGGATGGTGAGGGGAAACTGGGGAGGATGGTGGGGGGATACTGGGGAGGATGGTGAGGGGATACTGGGAGGATGGTGGGGGGATACTGGGGAGGATGGTGGGGGGATACTGGGAGGATGGTGGGGGATACTGGGGAGGACAGTGGGGGGATACTGGGGAGGATGGTGAGGGAATACTGGGGAGGATGGTGGGGGGATACTGGGGAGGACGGTGGGGGGATACTGGGAGGATGGTGAGGGGATACGGGGAGGATGGTGAGGGGATACTGGGAGGATGGTGAGGGGATACTGGGAGGATGGTGAGGGGATAGTGGGAGGATGGTGGGGGGATACTGGGAGGATGGTGAGGGGATACTGGGGAGGATGGCGAGGGGATACTGGGGAGGATGGTGGGGGGATACTGGGGAGGATGGTGAGGGGATACTGGGAGGATGGTGAGGGGATAGTGGGGAGGATGGTGAGGGGAAACTGGGGAGGATGGTGGGGGGATACTGGGGAGGATGGTGAGGGGATACTGGGGAGGATGGTGGGGGGATACTGGGAGGATGGTGAGGGGATACTGGGGAGGACGGTGGGGGGGATACTGGGAGGATGGTGAGGGGATACTGGGAGGATGGTGAGGGGATACTGGGAGGATGGTGGGGGGATACTGGGAGGATGGTGGGGGGATACTGGGAGGATGGTGGGGGGATACTGGGAGGATGGTGAGGGGATACTGGGAGGATGGTGGGGGGATAGTGGGGAGGATGGTGAGGGGATACTGGGGAGGATGGTGGGGGGATACTGGGTGGATGGTGAGGGGATACTGGGCGGGATGGTGAGGGGAAACTGGGAGGATGGTGGGGGGATACTGGGGAGGATGGTGAGGGGATACTGGGAGGATGGTGAGGGGAAACTGGGGAGGATGGTGAGGGGATACTGGGAGGATGGTGAGGGGAAACTGGGGAGGATGGTGAGGGGATACTGGGGAGGATGGCAGGAGGATACTGGGGAGGATGGCAGGGGCATACTGGGAGGATGGTGAGGGGATACTGGGGAGGATGGTGGGGGGATACTGGGGAGGATGGTGAGGGGATACTGGGGAGGATGGTGAGGGGATACTGGGAGGATGATGAGGGGATACTCGGGGGGATAGAGGGATACTGAGGAAGATAGAGGGATAGTGGGGAGGATGGTCGGGGGGATACTGGGAGGATGGTGAGGGGATACTGGGAGGACGGTGAGGGGGGATACTGGGGAGGATGGTGGGGGGATACTGGGAGGATGGTGAGGGGATACTGGGAGGATGGTGGGGGGATACTGGGAGGATGGTGAGGGGATACTGGGAGGATGGTGAGGGGAAACTGGGAGGATGGTGGGGGGATACTGGGAGGATGGTGGGGGGATACTGGGGACGAACTGGGGGATACTGGGGAGGAAGCAGATGGGTGGAGGATACTGGGCTGATGGGGAGATGCTGAGGAAGGATTTTGGGGTGAGAATGGGGAGCTGCTGGGGGGGAAAAGTGGGTGAAGAGGTTGAGGTGTCCTGAGGGGACGCAGAGGGGACGGGGATGGGGGTCCAGGGGACGCAGGGGGCGGCTGCTGGGGGCTCTGGGTGGCACTCACAGGGTTTTGTGCGTTTTGACGTGGGGGCGCAGGCCCAGCCCCAGCGCCCGGCAGCGCTCCCGCATCCTCTCGGCGTTCCGGCGCAGCACGGCCCGGTCCAGGGTCAGCGCCGGGGTGGGCAAATCCTCCAGGGGGGCTCCCAGCCAGGAGCTGGGGGTGTGGGGGCAGCAGGAGTGGGGGGATCTGCTGTGAACCCCACCCCCATCCCCCTGTGCCCACCTTCCACCCCCCAACACCCCCAGAGGAGGGGCAGGGGGGCCCCAGGTACCCCCAGGGACCCGGCACTGGGGGGGTTTGGGGTGGGGGCGGTGCTGGGGCAGCCCCAGGGGGTCCCTTCCTCCTTGGGGACAATCCAGGGGGTCCCTGGAGTCAGGTGGGGGTCGGGACTGGGATTTGGGAAGTGAGGAGAGGGGCACTGGGACACCTGGGGGAGGGATACTGGGAGCAGGGACAGCTGGGACTGGGATATACGGGACTGGGAGAGCTGGGACTGGGATATATGGGACTGGGAGAGCTGGGACTGGGATATATGGGATTGGGAGAGCTGGGACTGGGATATTTGGGATTGGGAGAGCTGGGACTGGGATATATGGGATTGGGAGAGCTGGGATTGGGATATATGGGATTGGGAAAGCTGGGACTGGGATATATGGGATTGGGACAGCTGGGATTGGGGTATTTGGGATTGGGAAAGATGGGACTGGGATATATGGGATTAGGAAAGCTGGGACTGGGATATATGGGATTGGGAGAGCTGGGACTGGGATATATGGGATTGGGAAATCTGGGACTGGGACATTTGGGATTGGGAGAACTGGGACTGGGATATATGGGATTGGGAGAGCTGGGACTGGGATATATGGGATTGGGAGAGCTGGGACTGGGATATATGGGACTGGGATATTTGGGACTGGAACACCTGGACCGGCTGCTGTGGGATGGGGACACGGGGCAGAGGGACACCTGGGACATTTGGGACACTTTGTCAGCTGTTTCCCGTGGGATGGAGCCAAAATCCGGGACCAGCGACACCGGCCCGACCTCCAGCGGTGCCACCTCTGTCCCCACCACCCCGCTGTCCCCTGCCCGTGTCCCCCCCGTGTCCTGCCCACCTGTCCGTGTCCCCGTCCATGGCTCCGTCCGCTCCCGGCGGCGGCCCCGCGGTGTCCCCCGTGTCCCCCGCCCCGCGTGACGAGGGGACAAGGGTCGCTGCCAGCCCGGGGGCCGCCCGGGGGTGGCAGGGCCGGGCCAGGACACGGGGCCAGGAGCGGCTGCCAGCGCTGGGGACAGCCCGGCCGGGAGGGGACAACGAGAGCCGGGAGCGACACGGGACAGCGGCCACGGGACTGCGGCCACTCGTGCCCGTGACACGTGTCAGGGGCTGCCTGGGACATCGGGGGGGACAGCTGATGTGCTGAGACCCCCAAACTGGTGACACACGTGGGGAGCTGCTGAGACCCCCCAAACTCCTGACACACGTGTGGGGAGCTGCTGATACCCCAAAAAATTGTGACACATGTGTGGGGAGCTCCTGAGACCCCCCAGACTGGTGACACACATGTGGGGAACTGCTGAGACCCCCAAAAATTGTGACACATGTGTGGGGGCTGCTGAGACCCCCAAACTCCTGACATGGGGGTGCACAGCTGCTGAGACCCCCAAACTGGTGACACACGTGTGGGGAGCTGCTGAGACCCCCAAAAATTGTGACACACGTGTGGGAGCTGCTGAGACCCCCCCCAAATTTGTGACACATGTGTGGGGAACTGCTGAAACCCCCAAAAATTGTGACACATGTGTGGGGAGCTCCTGAGACCCCCCAAACTCCTGACACACATGTGGGGAGCTGCTGAGACCCCCCCCAAATTTGTGACACACGTGTGGGGAGCCGCTGAGACCCCCAAACTTGTGACACATGTGGGGAGCTGCTGGGACCCCCCCCCCAAATTTGTGACACGTGTGGGGAGCTGCTGAGACCCCCCAAACTCCTGACATGGGGGTGCACAGCTGCTGAGAGCCCCCAAATTCGTGACACATGTGTGAGGAACTGCTGAGACCCCCCAAACTCCTGACACACATGTGGGGAGATGCTGAGACCCCCAAACTTGTGACACACGTGTGGGGAACTGCTGAGACCACCCAAACTGGTGACACCGGAGCAGGGGCACACTGGGGGACACACACAGGAGCAGTTGTGTCCCCATCCTGGGGCAGCCACAGGCCTCACACCTTGACTTCCCATTCATATATTATTATTAATTATTATTAATAACAATTCATTTTCTGTAAAAGCTCTAAAAATGGATAGAAATAAAAAATAAGGGACGGAGGGGGGACACCCACACGCTGCCGGCTCCTGGCCAGCGGGCACGGTGGGGGGGCTGTGCCACCCCCCCTTCCCAGCGAGGGGTCCCCACCTCCTCCTCCTGTCCCCCACCCTGCTGTGACAACAGCGGGGGGCAGCTCCCGAAAATCCAGGGGGGCTGGACACCCCGGCGGGGCTGGATAAGGCCACGGATGTTGGGCAGGGTGGGGCTCTCCAGGCCCCCCTCGGCGCCCAGGGGTGCCCCAGTCCGTGTGGGGGGCACGGCCCCCCTGGGTGGGTGGTGGGTGGGTGGGTGGTGGGTGCCAGCCTAGGCCCTGCCCTCGGAGGGGTTGTACTCGGTCTCTCCGGCCGACACTTGGGAGATGCGCCGCGTGGAACGCCACAGCCGCCGGTGGAACTGCCCCGGCCGCACCTGGGGACAGGGTGAGCGCCTTTTCCATCCCCAAATCCTTTATCCGTCCCCTCCCACATCCCCATCCCATCCCAAGGTCCTCATCCCCTTCTCCATCCCCATCCCCTTCCAAGGTCTTCATCCTCTTCTCCATCCCAAGGTCCTCATCCCCTTTCTCCATCCCCATCACCATCCCAAGGTCCTCATCCCCTTCTCCATCCCCATCGTCACCCCCTTCTCTATCCCCATCCCCTTCCAAGGTCCTCATCCCCTTCTCCATCCCCATCCCATCCCCATGTCCTCATCCCCTTCTCCATCTCCATCCCCTTCCAAGGTCCTCATCCCCTTCTCCATCTCCATCCCCTTCCAAGGTCCTCATCCCCTTCTCCATCCCCATCCCAAATCCTCACCCCCTTCTCCATCCCCATCCCATCCCATCCCATCCCATCCCATCCCATCCCAAGGTCCTCATCCCCTTCTCCATCCCCATCCTCATCCCCTTCTCCATCCCCATCCCAAATCCTCATCCCCTTCTCCATCTCCATCTCATCCCAAGGTCCTCATCCCCTTCTCCATCCCCATCCCCTTCCAAGTCCTCATCCCCTTCTCCATCCGCATCCCAAATCCTCATCCCCTTCTCCATCTGCATCCCATCCCAAGGTCCTCATCCCCTTCTCCATCCCCTTCCAAGGTCCTCATCTCCTTCTCCATCCCCATCCCATCCCAAATCCTCATCCCCTTCTCCATCCCCATCCCCTTCCATCCCCTTCTCCATCCCATCCCAAGGTCCTCATCCCCTTCTCCATCACCATCCTCATCCCCATCTCCATCCAATCCCAATGTCCTCATTCCCTTCTGCATCTCCATCCCATCCAAAGTCCTCATCCCCTTCTCCATCCCCTTCCAAATCCTCATCCCCTTCTCCATCCCCATCCCAAATCCTCCTCCCCTTCTCCATCCCCTTCCAAATCCTCATCCCCTTCTCCATCCCCATCCCAAATCCTCCTCCACTTCTCCATCCCCATCCCAAGGTCCTCATCCCCTTCCCCATCCCCTTCCAAGGTCCTCACCCCCTTCTCCATCCCCATCCCATCCCAAGGTCCTCACCCCCTTCTCCATCCCCATCCCATCCCAAGGTCCTCACCCCCTTCTCCATCCCCATCCCATCCCAAGGTCCTCATCCCCTTCTCCATCCCCATCCTCATCCCCTTCTCCATCCCCACCTCCTCTCAGTTTCTCATCCCATTCTTCCTCCTCATTCCTTCCCAGATCTGCTTCTCCATCCCATCCACTTCTTCCCCATTTCCATCCTTGTCTTCTTCATGATCCTCATCCTTTTCTCCATCCTCATCCTCTCCACCGTCCCCATGCCCTTCCAGACCCTCATCCTCCTCCATCCCCATCCCCCCCCAGCCCGGTCCCCCTCAGCTCTGGCGAGGACACCCCGATGTCCCCACCCCAGGAACACCCACGGGACACCGAGCCCCGTCCCCGTCCCAGCCCGCCCTGGCGGGGTCCCGCTCACCTCCGCGGGCTGCCCGGCACCCACCACGATGAGTTTTCCATCCTCCAGCCCCACCAGGATGTGGCTCCTCTCCTTGGTGACGGACACGCTGTGCACGGGCACCCGCATGGGCACGGGGGGCACGGCCGCCCTGAGGCTGCGGACAGGAGCCACGGCGTGGGACACCATGGAATGGGACAGGAGCCACGGCGTGGGACACCATGGTATGGGAGACCACAGAATGGGACATCAAGGAATGGGACACCAAGGAACGGGACACCACGGTGAGGGACACCACGGCATGGGACACTATGGAATGGGGCATCATGGAATGGGACACCATGGAATGGAGCACCATGGAATGGGACAGGAGCCACGCCGTGGGACACCATGGAATGTACACCATGGAATGGGGCACCATGGAATGGGACAACATGGAATGGGGCACCATGGAATGGGACACCATGAATGGGACACCATGGAATGGGGCACCACGGAATGGGGCACCACGGAATGGGGCACCATGGCGTGGGACACCATGGCGTGGGACACCAAGGAATGGGGCACCATGGAATGGGACAGGACACCACGGAATGGGACACCATGGAATGGGGCACCAGGGCATGGGACACCATGGAATGGGGCACCAGGGCATGGGACACCATGGAATGGGACACCATGGAATAGGACAAGAGCCACGCTGTGGGACACCACGGATGGGACACCACGGATGGGACACCACGGTGAGGGACACCACGGTGAGGGACACCATGGAATAGGACACCACGGTGAGGGACACCACGGCATGGGACACCATGGAATGGGACACCTGGAATGGGACAGGAGCCACGGCGTGGGACACCATGGCATGGGACACCACGGAACGGGACACCATGGAATGGGAGACCATGGAATGGGACACCATGGTGTGGAACACCACGGAATGGGACACCACGGTGAGGGGCACCATGGAATGGGACACCATGGAATGGGACACCACGGCGTGAGACACCATCGATGGGACACCACGGAATGGGACACCACGGAACGGGACACCATGGAATGGGACACCATGGTGTGGGACATCACAGCATGGGACACCATGGAATGGGGCACCATGGTGAGGGACACCACGGAATGGGACACCATGGCACGGGACACGCTGAGGGCGTGTCAGGGACAGGACAGGGCGCAGCCATCCCTCACCTCTGGAGCTCGCGGATCTCCAGCCCGCACTCCGAGGTCCCCAGCACCACAAAGTCCTCGGTCAGGCACATGGCTGTCACCTCCCGGTCCAGCGGGACGGAGGACAGGAGCTTCCCGTTCACCGAGTAGAGGTGCAGCGCGAACCTCTCCTGCGAGGAGCACAGCGGGAGCATGGCGGCGGTGGCCAGGAGGGGACCCTGGGGACACCTGGACGTACCTTGGAGCAGGAGGGCTGCCCCACGGCGGTTTGGGCCACCACCTGCCCCTCGGGGCCCACGGCCAGGTGGGACAGGACGGCGGGGGGACAGCTCTCGCCGGGCGGCCGCAGGGAGCGGATGAAGAGCCCCCGGCGCACGGTGTGGGTGATGATGGTGCCGTCCTGGGGGAGGAAGGGGACACAGGGTGACGGTGGTGGTGGTGGCGCTGCCCATCCCACGTCCACCCCATGGCACCGCCAGCTCACCTTGGAGCCGGACACGGCCATGTCCAGCTCGGTGCTGATGGCCACACACGTCACCTCAGCGTCGTGGCCATACAGCACCTGGACGGGTTTGGGAGCCAAGCCGCTGGAAAAGCCACCCTGGCGTTGGGGACATGGGGACATCAGTGACCTGCTGGCAGTGCCCACACCATGAGCTCCCCCTCATCCTCGAGCCCTCACCTGCTGTAGGACCTGCCACACCATGCAGGTGGTGTCCCGTGAGCCAGAAATGAGGTAGATGCCGCAGAGGTCGAGCGACAGGCAGGTGACAACATCTGTGACAGCCAGAGGGACACCATGAGGTGTCGGTCCCCTCCCACCATACTTGGCCCCCCATCCCATGGGATGG